TTCCGCAAGCAGCAAAGCGAGCGTAAGCGAGCATTTGATGCTTGTAATGAGATGATAGATGAATTAGTCGAAAGTAATGTTATGATGATAATAACATTGTGGTGAGGCGCACCCATCCACGGATGTGATGAGTTTTTAGCGTAGGCACGTGTAATTGATTAAGTGACTCATCTCGTCATCAGTTACCGAAGATCAAATGTAAAGACAAAAGAAAGCCTTGAACATAGCAATAATGCATACCGGCACCCAAATGTTACGCACCAGACATCTGGGAGAAAATTTCTTTGTTATTAAAAAAATGCACTGGAAAAAGTGCTGGTTCCACATAATCTTGTAATGATGTCACCTGAGCGCGAGAGGTGGAAATTCTTCCATGAAAAGAAAAATGGAATAAACAAGGAGGCCAGCCGGGCATTGGGGTCAGCGAAAAAGGTTTGAAAGGGGATGTTATTCCCAACCCGGCCAAACGCATGACATAGGTGGCACTCAGCTTTGACAGACAGCAACCTTGTTCTTGCAACACATTGGCTTTTCCATGCCGTTCGCAATTGCATAGATGAGACATGGCTCTCTACCGTCCCCAATTTAGCGTGGAACTCATGGACCAACTCCTTACATTCAGTAAATGTTCAGGTTGCCAAAAAGGGTCGTAGCCTTTCCATTTCACCATGTACCACCGCATCCCTTGTCATCTCCAACATTGATTCGAGGATTCATCAACCACCCCTCCGTTGGTCACTCCGCCACCTTCAATCAACGGGTTTGGGAAATCGCGGCATATCTTTGCTCAAGTTGATCTGCAGCACAACACTGTCGCTGTCGCTGCCGCAGCTCCTTCCACTGATCTGGATGTCGGCCACGTCGGGAGCATTGAGAGGAGATGGATCTGCGCCGGGAGCATCTATTCCTCCTCCAGCGTCTCCTTTGCCTCTTCGTCCAACGCCATGCCGGAGAGCTGCCGTTCGATGCCCGATCACAGTTTGCTTGTTGTCAAAGTCCTCGCGGACCTGTTTCCTGTACCTGTAGGAAGGCGGTTCCATGTCTTCATATTCTTCATCCCCTTCAGTCAATGGCCTCCCTTCCCCAACTTCAGTCCGAACCGCCAGTTGAGGAACCGGTATAGGTCGCGTCGATCGGGCCCCGCCACTTGGGGTCCGCGGATGGCTCCGCCTCTTTCTTCCCGCAAGATGGTTTCTCTATCAGTCTTGGATCAAGGGGGTGGGGGAGGCGCGGTACAGAGGGAGGGGGAAGCTAACCGCTGCTAGTGATTTTCCATTCGAGAGATCAGGTCCCTGGTGCCAGGAGAGTAGTCATCGTCCTCACCCCCTATGCATGATAAGCCCTATTTGTCATCAATTCGGACACTGAGTACCTAGGTAGTCTTGTTACCCGCTGCTTGACCAATGGAACTAACTCTCGGCTTCTTGGCATTTCTGCTAAGAATCTCTTCTTCTCCTTCTGTTGTGGCTGCGAAGCTCCATTGCGCATTCGAATGCTCCGCATCGTCAGACAATGTCGATACATCAGAGTCATCCATGGTAGGAGCTGCCTCGGAAGCTGTCTGACTATGAGATGTTGAATGAAGAAGCAGAGATTGAGCCTTTGAGTTTGTTTCATTTGCTGTCCTAATAAATTCATCCCTCTTTTCCTTTGCCCAGTCCCGACCATTTCGATATGCGCATGCTCCTTGCCGAAAGGTTCCCAGGTCACTGGTCAGTGACCAGCCTTTGAGCTGGGTCATAATGTACTCAGGGCGACGGCCTGGGCCTTCAGGCTCAGTGAGATGAGTTGTGTATAGCTTGAGTGTACCGCCATGATAAGTCGATGAAAGAGTGTAAGCACTGTTGTCATAAGTTGATCTGTCTTGTTGATATGACTGGAGAGCATGCATACCCCGAGCGCCTAGTGCGCCATCATAGCAAGCCTGCCATGTAGCCACAGCCAAGGATCCATCAGGGCCTTTTGCTTCCAAAAAGAAGTTTGGTACCATTGGAAGGTCATCTTGCATTGATGGAATGATATGATCACTAAGTTTGTTGCGGATTTGACGATCAAGCTGTTCAGGACGCGCGCCGTAGAAGTGATCTGGTTTGGCCCGAGCCAGTGTGCCATCAGTTAAAGGAGCAAGATTTCCAAAGAGATAATCTCCTCCAACACACTTAGCATCACCAACATCACCATCAAGAATGGGTATAACTGAAGTTGTAATTGGTTTCTCCTTAGATGCATATGCATCCACTTCTCGGAAGTCTTCAAAGTGATCTTCAGAAAACTTTGAGGGTGAAAGTGAAGCTCTTGGTTGTGCTAGTCTTTCATTGATCTCTGTCCAGTTACTTGGTTTTGATGGCTTGCGACGGTCTGGATACCTATATTCCGGTGGATAGACTCCATGATCAATTAGGTGCTGCTGGAAGTTCCGACTATAGGCTGTGGTGCTTGTGGTATCACCAGTTTGTGATGGAGGAGATTCTGCGCGCCGCTTTCTACTACGAGAACTTGATTTGTTTGAGTTCATTGGTTGATCGCAGAAATTTTGGGGTTTGGGATACTGGATTAAAATAATAAGCATGGATATGTGTGTGTGTGTGGATTTGCAGTTACATACATTTCTAAGGTCAGACAGGTCAGGTCCTCCCAGTCTTGAAATCCTTTTTATCTGCTTTAAACAACTGGGGGCACAATCGTGGAGAAAATCAGGAGCAAACTGAACAGGTTCACAGCCTTTGTTGAGTTCAGTGAGATATCGTTGATTATGATGGTTCTGGGTTGGTCTCGGGCGACTGTTTCTTCGGTCCAGCTCTTTTAGTGCTTCTTTGGTTAACCAAATCTTTGACAGGTTATCCCAATACGCTGATGACTCGCTGAGCTTCTGCCTTTTCAACTGATATCGCGAAGTGTTGTAATGTGACCCAGGATGCTGACGCTTGCGGGATGGGCTGAAGGCTGCTGAAAAAGGCATATGGTGATGAATCACAACTTTTTGGTATCTCTATAGAGCACCGAGGACCGAAAGAGCAGGAGTTCTTATAATCGCATCGCAGAATTATCTCACATGCTTATCCGGAAATGATTGTTGCTGGGGCCAACTGTCCGGCTGTTGGAAACATGAAGGACGCCAGGGAGGGGAGAGAGCGGCAGTCCTGGATGGATGGGTACCATACAGGAAGAACGTAGGGTTATTACACGACCGGATTATGGTTGTTCCACCATTTCAATCGGCGACACAGTCGCTGAGCTGTAAATCATAGTATAATGATGAATGAATGATGAAATCACTGTAAATAAGTGATAAACTGAAAAAATCAATTATTATATTAGTGATGTTGCTGAATTCAATCTATATAATCACTAATTCTAAAAACTGTCTTATTCATCAGTATTATTCTCTATTAGAAATCACAGATATTTCTATTTAAATTCTTCTGAATCAACTGAACTAAGTTTCTTTTATAGTCTTCATTCTCAGTTATATTACTCTCATTGATCATATTACTGAACTTACAAATTGAGATTTATAGATTAGTCATGATTTGAAAGACACTATTATCAGTTATCTGATATTTAAAAGTTAAGATTTTAGAGTAATTAGATATCAGATATTTAAAAGTCTATATAATTATTAATCTCTGAATAAATCTGAGAATTATTTCACTAATTCTAGCTTACTGTTTCAGTGATTATTTCATAAGTCTGAGAACTCAGAACACTCATCAGAGTTAAAAGATTGAAGAAGAAGAGAAGAAGAGAATTAATAGTGATAATTAGACTGATTATCAGAATCATGAATTTCATATTTAGTCTCATTTAATCTGGTTTCATACATTTCTTGGCGTGAATCCCGCTGGGACTGGCTATTAAAAAAACAGGTAAAGTGACTATATATCAGATCTTAAAATGAAACCATGACTTGAAAAAAATGAGAAAGTGATCTCATTTAGTCTTATTTAGTCTCATTCTTAGCATAAAGTTACTATTTTTAGACATTTTAAGGTTTTTTTTAGACTATTTTTAATTTTTTAAAAAGTAACACTTTTTGATAACACTCAAATGAGATTTAAAGTCATTTAAAGCAATAAAAATAATTTAAATTGAGAAGTGAAAATCATGATCTCATTTGGAAAATGTGACAAGAGTAGACAGTAAGTCTCACTGAGACAGTATGAGACTACTATTCAATGTTAAAACCATGTAATGAGATCAGTTGAATTGATAATGAGACTATCAAAAAATCTGATCCTGGTCTCAGACACGGTCACACAGTCAGTCTAGTAATAATAGAGAGACTGATAAGAGTTATAGAGAGAGAAAGAGAATTATCACTATTAATAGATTTCTTATCACTACTGCTCTTATTAACTGTATTACTGAGAAGTTTAATAATTATTTTAAATCAGTTTATTATTTCATATATTTTAATGAAAATGTACTGCACTTTCTCTTTAACACTGTTAATCAAGTTTATAAGATTCTTCATTGCTACTTTTTAATTCTTATAATAATTATTAATTAATCTCAAGATCTCTCACTGAATAACAAGCTTTGTATTTTTAATATTTAATTTTATCTTTTCAATGATAATTTTCTTCTTCTTTATAGTAATTTTCTTCTTTTCAATCTTTAATTTAACTCTTTCAATATTTAACTTGATCTTCTCAATTTCAAGTTTGACTTTTTCAGTGAGACTGATAGATGTATTTAAGACTTTTAATATAATAGCTATACTCTTTATTTTTTAATTTTCTGCTTTCTGCTGATATGTCTTTACTTTCTTAATTTACTTGAATAAATTCTTCACTGTCTTCAGTATAACTGACTTTACTGATTTCTTCATAACTGTTAAGATAGTAAGATAAAACTCATGAATTTGAACTAGATTTTCAATTTCATCTTTGAATTTATCAGAGTATATCATACAATCTTTCTTTTCATAATTGCAGTTTAAACATGACTTTATACTTTCTTCAACTTTGTCACAAATGACATTAATATAACAGAGAAAGATATATAAGATATAATATTCATACATTATTAACTTATCTGACTGATTAAGAGTTTTCAGTCTGATTGCTATCTCTTTCTCTTGTGCTTTTGCAGCTGCTGCATATGTATACTTGAGAGTATCACTGATTATTTATACTGCTGTTGTTATTGTTATTGCTGTTATTAATACTGTTATTAATACTGTTGTTAATACTGATATGATAATTCATTAATATTCTTATTATACTGTACACACACAGTATCTTATATTAGAACTTTTGATTCTTAAAGCTTTCTATTACAACTGACAGAATACTAATCTTGCTGAAGATGAGAAAAGACTAAGTAAGCTGATGTAACATGGCGGAACTGAAGCGGTAGCTAGTCGGCGGCGTCACATAGGAGTAGTTGTTTGAGAAGCCATATAAGTGAGCTTGACTATCTTGCTTGAATAGCAAGCTCATAGACTACAAGGTTATTGCAAGAATATCACAGATATAGTACTTAGTATACTAAGAAGATTGTATAAGGCACACAGTAACTCTCATATATATTTCAGTAGAAGAAAAACAAATCACTGACTTCTTTGATAAGGAGTCAGCATCTAGCTATTCTATATAGACAATGAGCAGATACTCTTCTCTCATTTCACAAGTGAGAATAGCTGAAGTGATACCTCAGCAGTGCTTTATTACTAAGAAAGAGTAATTTGCTGATCTCATATAAAAGCAGAGTTCTCATATTCATCAATCAGATCTTTCTATGATACATTCAAATAATGTTATAGAGTGATTGAAAACTAGTTCAGACAGAATGAAATCATCTGTATGAAAGTGATGAGCTGTGTGAAACTGTAACAGAGTCTTGATACAGCTGAGAGCATGACAATACTCTCTTCTTTAAGAATATAGTCTCTATACTCTTAAGATTACTGAATTAGAAATTATCTTTGTTATATAGTAACAGTTATCAATCAATTAATAGTGCATGTACTGCATATGATACAAAGAAATAGATGAGTTTTTCTGCTGACTGTGTAGATCTTTCTTTTCTCATCATTGTTCAAATTAAACATGTGATAAGTGAGTTTCTTATATATTGATTTGAAATGTGGAAAATGTAGTTAATAAGTGACTTACAGATCTCTTAATATATTTCATTCTATATATAAAATTCCCTGCAAAAGTGATGTGTTTTAGAGACAAAGCTAACAGTAGTAACAGGATTTTTTAAAAAGATCTTCTCTCTGTGAAACATTTTTCTTTTCTCTCTCTCAATCACAACAGTGAGTGCATGAGAGTATTGTTCTTGAAGAATAATCAAGGGCTTATTCTGATGTTTTCTAGTGAATAACAAACATCTTTGTGGTGTGGCAGCAGTCTCTATGACTGCTAAGAAAGCCAGGTTGAAGACAGAGGCAGCAGTGTCAATGAGCTGCAGAAGCATCACTTCTATTGTTACACCTTCTTCTTCTCCTGCTTCTTTTGCAGCTGCAGTGGTAGTTGCTGTGCCTTGCAGTGAGGTGTCATTCCTTCTGCTGATCAGTTCATTCATGTTCAGTCTGTTCTCTACCTCTCTCATCACTGTTGCAACACTGCCCTCCCCCCCGGTCAATACAGTGATGTATGACCCCATGTGGTCATTCAGAGAGGAACCTGGAGAGAGCTTGATTTCAGGGACAGTGACTCTGAGAAGCTCAATCTGTAGTTCTTCTCTCACAGCACACCCGAGCCCTGCTCAGAATGCTGCTAAATTGAGTCTGCAGAGTCCTGCAGTTTCTTCATCTTCTCTCTGTGAGAAGGCTTCAGTGCAGTCTCTGATCAGCATCACTACTTGTCTACACTGTATCAAGCAGCTGAAGAAGAGAGGAATTTTATACATCTGTTTCTTCTCTCACTCTCATTATTTCTATTGTATCTATAACAACAACTTCTGTCTCTCTGTAAGTATCACTTCACAGAAAGATATCATATCAGTTCTGATAAGAAGTCTAGATACTCAAGCAGTACAGAGTGAGAATCTCAGAGCTTTAAGTGTTGATAGATTCTGTCAAGACTGAGAAGGTCTCTCTTACTCATCTGTAAAAGAAGGTGAAAGCATGAATCTTCAAGATAGAAAAACATCTTAGAATAACTGATCTTAAGAAGGGATTAGTCAGTGCTGCTGTTAAAAGTATCACAGAGATCAATCACTGATTGAAGAGAATCTCACTTCAGTTGAAGCAGATAATTAAGATACTTTATAAATTAGTAAGTTAATACTTTCAGCATCTCTCATACTCTTCTACAGCATGCTCCTCTGCAGCACTGCAGTGCTAACTTCTCAGCAGATAAAGATGCTGATGTCAGAGACTTCAATGATGAAGAATGAGTTTGATGAGAGTGTGATTATTGATGAGTAGGCTCTGATCTCTCTTTTTACTTTTTTAGCAGGCTGTGACTCTATTAGAATAGCAGCAGCTCACAGATCAATAATATTAATCTTTTTATTAGTTTTCAATATCTCTTTTCTCTAACTGCTTCAGGAATTTTATACTTGTGTAGTCTCATTAAACTTCTAAAAACTCTTTGAGAGAAAATAGAAGAAGAGTGTTACAGAGTCTATAAGATATCAGCTCATCACTGTGAGATCATCTCTAAAAAAACTCTTTAAGAAAAATGAGAAGTCTTAAGCAGTATTTCTTACTCAATATCTCTGATATATAATGAGATAATCTCTACTAGCTGTCTCATAGGTTGCAATCTCTTTCTCAGCATTTTTCAAATACTCAAGTGATTCTTATGAATTCTCTGAGAATGAATAATCTTCTCATTTAACAAGATATTAAAGCTTGCTATAATATATTCACTTGTTCAATATTTTCTTTATAAGATATTCAGTATCACTCTTAATCTCAATATTATTCAGCTGAGATGACTCTGTTCTGAGATATTACTTATAGAGCTTCAAATAGAAAATGTGAAAAACAGAATGAATTGATTTCAATTCTGTGAATAATTTCAACTCATATGTCTGCTTACTTATCACTCTTGTTACTGAGAAAGGTTCTAGTCACCACTCACTGAGCTTCTTACACAGTCTTATTATCTTGATATTCTTTGCTAAAAGTAGCACTTGATTCTCTATTAAGAACTTTATTGAAAGATGTTTTCAATTGTAGTATTTCATCTG